TCCCGATTTTATCAATTCTACCTGAGCAGTTATACTCGTAATCTTATTGGGTGACCATAGTTTTGTCCCGCCTCACGTCCACTTGCGAGTTACCATGTTTCCCATCTTGGACCCGCCTCCTCATGGATTTGCTCTATAAAAGTCCCTAGAAAAGGCTGGTTCCTTGGCAACGCATTGAGGACTTCTTTTGTCTCTCTCTCGGACGGAAGCTTCCTTTCCCCCGATAAATATATTCTGCTTTTAACCTCCACCGTTCCTAAAATTCATTCTTCGATTTTAGAGAACACGAACTCGTCCCAGACATCTAGCAGGTTGGGAGCTTCTTTCCCCCGTCTCTTGAGGAACCTCAGAAGGACGGTCAGGTAGAGAGGGGGCAGCCGACTCCTGAAAGTAAACTTAGCTCCAGGCTTCAAGGCTCCTATAGCAGGTAATATAGATGAACTCATGAAGGCGCTGGAGTGCGCACCCCACAGTAAAGGAACGGAAGGCGGCTGCGAGAGGCGGCGTCGGGACACAGCCTTGCAGAGTGTGGGCGGAGCCTGCCGCTGCAGGCAGAGAACTGAGCCGAGCTCTGCCAGAGCCGGCTCCAGACTGCAAAGGCTGGGCTTACCGTGTGCGCCTCCCCCGGCCGAAGGGTGCTTTCCCCCCCGCGCAGAGCCCCTGCCCACCACCGCCCCGGCCCTGCGAGCGTCTTGGTAAACTCAGACTCGTCCTTCAAGACTGGGCCGAGGCTCTCCTCTCCCCAAAGCCCTCTCTGACTCCGCTGTTCACTTCTGAGAGTGAACAGACCTCCCCCGGCAGCTCAGGTCAGTGCTGTTCGGGTTCGCGTAGCTCACTCTTGCAAGGTGAGACGGGACGGACCACTGGGTGTCGGGAGCGTATTGTCGCGCACCGGAGTTGAGCGGAGCTTTCTGTCCAAAACACAGCTGAAGCCCTGAGCAGTTTTCCAGCTTATATACATTTTCTGGAAGGCTGCGCATGGAAAGGAACTAAGGCAATTTTTACTTCGTGCCAGTTTTCTCTTTTTGAGACAGGGTCTCACTATGTAGTTCAGGCTGGCCTTAAACACCTTGTAGCCCAGGCTGGTCTCGACCTCGCAGTGAGCCTCCTACTTCAGCCTCCCAAGTGGTGGGTACAGGGGTGCGCCACCATGCCCGGCTCTCTAGGACATTTTCAGTATTTTCTGGCAAGTCCGCCTCCCTTTTGTCTGTTCGTATAGCATGCAGGCTACAAGCCTATTGATTGGTGCCACCCACACACAGGGTAGGGCTTCCCTCTTTGGTAAATCCATTCAGCCACACCCAGAACTACGCTAAACCAACTAGGGGACTAAGCTAGGTATCACACACTCTTCACATTTACACACCCTAGATCCAGCCACCCCCAAAAGCCTCACCTATGACCACATGAGGCATTGGGGGGACATCTATGTACAAGCCATGCTGAGTGTGGTGGCGCACGCATCGTTGAGAGTTCGAGACCAGCCTGGGCTACAAAGTGAGCTCAAGGCCAGCCTGAACTGCATAGCAAGACCCTGTCTCAAAAAGACAAAAAAAAAAAAAAAACACCGAGCCATGACAGTAGTGCTAGACACTAATGCCTCACCTAGGGGACTGCCCCTGACAAACCAAACATCATGTGGTTTGCTGAACCATGAAGCAGGATCTGCCCACAGAATTTCGGTGTACAACAGAAGCAGTCGGTAGCAAACTAGGCATGAACTGGAGATAAATTAGGTAAAAACCGAAGACACTAGTGTGGGCAAGGGCTTTCTGAAAAGAACCCTAACTGCACAAGACAGAACATAAAAAATCGAAAGTGAGATTTTGTCAAATTAAATGGCTTTTGCACAGCAAAAAAACAACCAAGAGTGAAGGCAACCTACAAAATAGAAAAAATGTTTTGCCAGCTACTCCTCAGACACAGGACTAGTATACATAACCTATGTATTCTATACTAGAATAAAGGACCTCCCAAAATAAAAGACCCAATCCAAAAAACAAGCCCAAAAAGGCAACTGAAATGAACACACGTCTCAGAAGTGTGAGTACAAATGGCAAATAAATATACGAAAAAACGTCCAACATCTGGCCATTGAAGAAATGCAAATTAAAACAACTCTGAGATTCCACCTTATTCCATGAAGAATGGCTGTCATCAAAAAATCAAACAATGCATGCTGGTGAGGCCAGTGGGAAAATGGAACACTACAGTGTTCGTAGGAAGTAAACTACTACAAGCACTATGAAAATCAATACAGAGATGCCTTAAAAACTGAAAACAGACACTCCACTCAACCCAGCTTATTCCCCTGTAGGTGTCTTTCCAAGAATTAAGAACATCATAGTACAGTGATACACACACACCCATGTTTACAGCAACACAATTCGTAACAGTTACATCTTAGAAGCAACCTATATGTCCATCAACACATGAGTAGATAAAGAAAATGTGGAATATACAAACAATAGGCTGGAGGAGAGTAACAGAGCTTAGATTTTTATATCTAGAAATCCACTAAGGGGTTATAAAAAAAAAAAGCAAAAACAAAAAGTAAGCAACTCTTCACATGCCTCAAAAGTGGGGGGAAATTTATTTTTATAAGATCAAAAAAAAATCCATTATAACAAATACATAAGAAAAAACATCAGTTCCAGTTATATTTTCATGAAAAGAACAAAGTAGAGACCATAACTCAAAACTATAAGTAGTTTTGGTTCACTGCTACAAAATCTTCAGAAAGAAAAGAACACAACAGAAATGGTACAAAATAACTTTTATTTACATAATTTATATCTATGAAACATAACTGCTTTCTTTAAAACAAGAAAATTTACATATGACAGGTATTGCTTTTTTGTCAAAGACTTCTTTAAGCAAGATAGTACACATGGTCACTTATATTTAACATGGTAGTGAACAATGGATGTTACTATTTTGATCTGTGCCTCAGTCGTTTACCAACAATTAGGCTTTTAAACTACCATGTCAGCTACTTGTTAAAATGTAAGCATTAAGGAGGACAAAAATAAAATACTTTTCATCACCTCTCCTTTAAGATTTATAAATTTTTGTAACATCTGCACATCAATCAGGCTTCACACAGATATTTCCACCTTGTAAGATAAATGTACTAAATTAGTTTCTGTTTTTCCAAGATTAATGTAAAGGGTATAGCGATAGGACAGTTTGTTGACTGACATGATTCTTTATACAGTGAATGTCCCTGCATCATTACAGAGTAAAAAATCATCATATCTTCCATAAAATTGGTTTAACATCTGTGAGGCAGATATTAACAAAGTTAAAAAATAAATATTATACAGGGATAACTAGTCATAGCAATCTAACACCCACACTAACACCAACAGAAAGATACCTTTTCAGAATGAGATTTAAAAATTTACAAAAACAGGATATTAAAATCACAATGTGATTTACTCCATGATTTTTGATATATTAATCACAAGAAATAAATAAATGCATAATTATAGAGAATTTCCACTCAGATTTATAGACCCTCCCTTACAACACAATGGTAAAGTGAAACTGGAAATTTCACTGTAAGGCAACGGTGTAAGAAATGCTCTAAGAAGCCGGGCGTGGTGGCGCACGCCTGTAATCCCAGCACTCGGGAGGCTGAGACAAGAGGATCACCATGAGTTCGAGGCCAACCTGGGCTACATAGTGAGTTAAAGCCAGCCTAAACTGCACAGCGAGACCCCATCTCAGAAAGAAAGAGAGGAGGGGAGAGAGGGAAGGAAGGAGGAAGGAAGGAAGGAAGGAAGGAAGGAAGGAAGGAAAGGAGGAAAGGCAGGAAGTGGGGAGAGAAAGAGAAAGAAATGCTCTAAGAGCGAGTTTCCGTCACTGTTGGCAAGTCAGCATCACTGTTGGACTCGCTGGGCCACTGTCTACCTTACTAAGGAGCCTGAAAACTGGCCGTCATCCTTTCAACATACAAACAGTAAAATCATCTAGACTTTGAAATAGTTTTCCAATTGGAACACCAATAATTTCATAAAGCAGTCAACACAGCTGTGGGTATAACTCAGAACTTCAGTGACAAGTCACTCACACATAGCTCTCAGCACCATAAAGAAAACTGTCTACAGAGGGGCCAAGCTCAACACAGGCCCGACACATCCCTGCATCTGTGGGCCGCTGAGGCTGCCTCTGCATGAAATGCAGGAGTGAGGGGCTGCCAGAGACCACGCAGCCCAGGAACCCAAAAAGGGAAAGTTTTCAACTCCTGAGCTAAAGTATTAGCAATGTCGGAGGCTTTCCAAATAGAATCAAACTAAATCTGCTCTTTGAGAAATTTGTTTCAGGAAAAATTTGCCGAAGTAGACTTGATATTAAACATACACCATATATATACACATTACATATATATATATCATGTATCTGTAGAGCACACACACATACATAAAGCATCAAATTTCAAAATTAAAATCATTTAAAGTCATATTGGTAATTGTTGACTAAAGTCTTATGTCCCAACACTTGGGAGGCTGAGGCAGGAGGATCGCTGAGTTCAAGGCCAGCCTGTGCTACACAAGTGAGTTCAAGGACAGCCTGCACTACACATAGTGAGACCTTGTCTCAAAAAAAAACTCTTACCATCTTACTTTCTGCTTATATCTTGTGCTTAATGGTCTAAATGTTCCTTGACCATAATTTAATGGGGTACAAAGGATCAAGAAACTGTGGTTTTAAAAAAGGAGTGTGTATGTGTGTGTATGTGCAAGGAGATTTGCCTTACAGACGGAAGTTGAGATTTTCTCCTCCTGAAAATCCTGAGATTATCTAAAATAGAAGAAAAGCAAAAACATTCACAGTTCGAAATCAACATACTAAACTACGAGGATAAAAAGTACTCAAAACATACATATCGCTGGGTGTGGTGGTGCACACCTGTAATCCCAGCACTCAGGAGGCAGAGGCAGGAAGATCACTGTGCACACGAGGCCAGCCTGGGCTACATAGTGAGTTTAAAGGTCAGTCTGAACTACACAGCAAGACCCTGTCTCAAAAGAATCAAAAAATAAAAAATGAAAAAAAAAAAAAACTTGCCAAAACTTTCTAGTTATATCATTTTAAGTATCTTTGAAGAGGAAAAGGAGACAAATACAAATTTGTTAATAATGCCTTCTTTACACACATTCTGAGGGGTGAAAATAATTAAAAACTGAATATCCTTTTAAATAAAAAATTTAAAAATAAATAAACTCTTTGATTTGTCATCTTTATAAATATTAAGTTTAAATACTAGTTCTTCAATTAGGACTAATGTTACATCACCATGAAATAGAAAAATACGTGTTTTTCAGACAAATAGCTGATAATAGAAAAATTTTAAAGGTCACATACTGAAGTGGAGATTGACAATTTTGTATACTAATAGGCAACTGAAAAGGCCTTCATCATCCCCCCAAGAAGCAAAGAAAAGAGAACAAAATTTTACAAAGGAAGTTTGCTAAGCAGTCAATACAATCAACTCCCAGTAAGATGGTGCCGCGGCTTCTCCGACCGCTTCCCCACACTTGTCCCGCAGGGTCAGGCAGGCGCGCGGCTCCGGGCGGCAGAGTGGAGACAGAACAGAGTCCCCGCGCCGACGCAGCGCAGCCACCGCTGCTCGGTGTTTCCGAAACGCCCCATCAGCCAGAATGAGAGAACTCGGCAGTGCTTCCACTGATGATGAACGTTTCAACTCGAGTTCATTAAATATTCAAAACTGACCTAAAGAAAAGTAAACAGTGATGCTTTTTTCTAAATACTGCTTGGTTGCTGCAACTGGCTCTGGAAATCCTAGATTTAAAGGGGAAAAAAAGAAAAGAAAAAACCGCACAGGCTTTATTCTGCCTCCTCCACTTCGATGAAGATATCCCCGAAGAAATATTCCGACACTGTGGTTGGCTCCTCTGTTTCAGGTGCCTGCTTTTGGCCACTTCTACGTTCTTCTGTCAGTGACGGCCGATCACGGGAAGCCTATAAAGGTAGCAAAAAGAAAATGTGACCCAACACTTACATATTGCTAGTGAGGACTGGAGATGCAGCTCAGCAGTAAGGCACTCACCTTGCACGTGCAAAGCCCTGGGTTTAAAATTAAAGGAGAGAAAAACACCAAGGTAACTTTTGTTGCGTTAGTTGTAATAAAACTAGAAGCAATCTAAATCTACACTAGGTATGCTTAGGTTAATCATGATGTATCAACAATCCATTACTTTCCCTTAACCCCCATGAAAGAATTTTAATATAGACCAGCATAACATTGTTAGCTGAGTATGGTGGCACATGCCTGTAACCCCAACACTCTAGGAGGCTGAGGCAGGAGGTTCACAAGTTAGAGCCCAGCCTAAGCAATTCAGTGACTCAGCAAGAACCTGTCTCAAAGTGAAGAAAGTAGCCAGGCACGCTGGGACACCTCTATAACCCCAACGCTGGAGAGGGCTGAGGAAGTGGAATTGCAGAGAATTTGATGCCAGCCTGAACTACATAGTGAGTAATTAAATAAAATTTTTTTAAATGAAATTTATAAATAAATAAAAAGGGACTTGGGGTACAGCTCAGTGAGAAGGTCCTGGGTTTACTCCTTAATACCTCAGGAAAGAAAAAAAAGTAAATTCTATAATTAAAATATATTAATTTCTGACGTAAGCAGAAAGACCTATAAAACAGATGAGTACCCAAAGGAAACACCACAAATCAAAAAGACCATATCAAAATCAGCACCTTATAAATCCATATACCAATGAAAGAAAAGATTAGAAATGACCCTAACATGTATGGAGATTTAATATCTGATAAAAGTTACATTTCAAAAAACAAAAAAAACAAAACAAACAAACAAACAAAAAAATCAGATCTCCCAAATTTAAATACCCAATCCAAAAAACGGGCATCTGACATGAAGACACTTCTCAGATGAAAAAATACGAACAAGCCAGGTGCAGTGGTTACACCTACGGTCCTAGCGCTCAAGAGGCTGAGGCAGGAGGATCACCATGAGTTTGAGGCCAGCCTGGACTACATAGCAAGACCTTGTCTCAAAAAAAAAAAAAAGTATGAACAGAAAATAAATATATGAAAAATTGCTCAGTATCACTGGTCATTCAACAAATGCAAACTGAAACAACACTAAGATTCCATCTCACTCCAGAAAGAATGACTGTCATCAAGAAATCAACCAGTGACAAATGCTGGTGGGGCTGTGGGGAAAAAGGAACCCTTCTGTATTGCTGGTGGAAGTGAAGACTGGTACAACCACTGTGGAAATCACTGCGGAGATTAGTCAAAAAACTAAAACTAGAGGTTCCATTTGACCCAGCTGTTCCTCTTCTAAGTATTTTCCCAAAAGAGTTAAAAGCATCACACCACAGTGATATATACATACTCATGTTCATAGCAGCACAGTTTATAATAGCTAAATCTTGGAAACAGTCCATATGCCCATCAACAGATGAATGGCTAAAGAAAATTTGGTATTTATAATATACTGGAATACTACTCTGCCATAAAGAAGGGTAAACTTGAGTCAGTCATAGGAAATGGATGAACCTCAAGATCACAGCCACCTCATCCACCATTAACTTAATTTTGCTAAAATGTGATTTAGTCTAGTTTAGGTGTTAATATCTAATGCAGGGGCCCGGGATATAGCTCAGTAGCACAAGCACCTGCCTGGCAAGGATAAGGTCCCGAGTTCGATTCCCAGTACCCGCCAAAATAAATAAGTAAACCAGAACAGAATTGTATAATATCTAACACAGACAAGGATATGACTAAATTGGCACGGTCACACTAGCAACTGTAACAACTATTCTATAAAACAGGCAATGATAACCAAGAATCATAAATAGGGCTTCACGGATTTTTCTATCCCAGTGCTTGCCATTAACTTCAGAAAGAAACAAAGCACAACTGGGGCTGGGGATTTAGCTCAGCGGCAAAGTGCCTGCCTGGCAAGCACAAGGTTGTGAGTTTGATTCCTGGTACTGGAAGAAAAAAACAAAACAAAAAAGAAAGAAACAAAGCACAACTGCACGCTTTAGCAGCACATATACTAAAATTGGAATGATACAGAGAAGATCAGCATGGCCCTGTGCTAGGATGACATGCAAATTTGTGAAGCGAATATTTTTAAAATCTTAAAAAAAAAAAAGAAGCAAAGCATAAATGATCATTTCATGCTCCATGGCTTCTTGAGGCTGTCAGGACATTTCTCCTAAGTCAAACTAAAGCACGAGCACTGCTTCAGTTTTGCTTCCACACTCAGAAGGGTCTTTGGAGGAAGTGGGTGGGAGTCAAATGTCCTCTGCCTGCCAGTTCTCAGGCTCTAAACCAGCTGTAACTTCCTCATCGAACACCGTACCTTCCAGGATGGAGGCTCTGAGGCGGCTGAAATTAATGCGAGTTGCCCTGAAGTCACTTCAGACAACCACATGAAAATGAAACGACCATGTTCTCCCCAGCTGAGTCTGACATCCTATCCATTTTACACACAAAACAAAACGCAGCTGTCCCCACACACCTGAGTTGCTGAGCTGCCAGGAGCCTCAGCTTGAGCACTGGGGACCTCACTTGGAGGTGGAAGCACATCAGAGGACTCCTGATTTTTTTTCTGGGTTTCACCAGGTGGTTTAGATCGTTTCAAATTCCGCCTTGATACAGGTAGAAGAGGTTTTAAGCGTTTTTTACTACGGACATGAGTAGGTTCATCGGACTCCAAATTATTCTTTGAACATATTAAAGCTAAAAATCCCAGTGGTCTTCTGCCAGGCCTAGAAATGTAAATGCAAAGATAGTGAAGAATATCAGTAAAGTACATTCTTAACACCATCCTCTTTCCATAAATGCTAAAATAACACTCTCTACCAAGTACTGATGCCATTAGGTCAGGATATAGATTTGTTACAGGATCCTGGCTTATCCTATTTGTTTTCTTCCTTTTTTTTTCTTTTTTTTTTTTTTTTTTTTTGGCTAGGGCCTTGCTGTGTCATTCAGGCTGGCTTTGAACTTACTATGTAGCCCAGGCTGGCTTCAAACTCACAGCAATCCTCCTGCCTCAGCCTCCTGAGTACTGGGATTACAGGCATGCACCACCACAGCCAGCACCAGGCTTATTCTAGACGAGGGCTTCACAAATTTAAAAGTGAGTGAAATACCTTGACATCATCTGGGGGTGTTATTAAAAGTTCAGCCAGTGTGATGCCACACACCTGTAATCTCAGCATTTAGCAGGCTGAGGCAGGAGGATCACTGCAAGTTCAAGGCCATCCTAGGCTACATAGTGAGTTCATGGTCAGCCTGAACTACATAGCAAGACTGTCTCAAAAAAACAAAAAAAGTGGGAGAAGTTGGCTTTGAGCTTAAATTCAGAAAGAAAGCCATGCTTTACCTCTTTAGTGTGCCACAGAGGAAGGAAATGACACATTAGTTTGGAATTCAATAAAACAACTTCCAGAGCTACCTCTGGTATCAGGTCTGTGTCTCCTAACATCTACATGTGCATTAGTTGGCACTGTATGGCAGAATATGCAATAAGCAAAATAATAACCATGGACAAAGTATGCAATATGCTGAAGATTTTCTATTCCAAATAGGGAGTTTCACAACTGAAATTAAACTCTCTTCACACAGGATGTATATTTATCTGGAACATACTGTATTTCCTTACATTACAGACGGGACATACTTATAAAGCAACCTTAGTGCTGAGCTTAACTTTACATGCATGTCTTCTCTATGCAGGCTGCAAACACTTAGAGGCACAGGGACTTTCTCACGATACCTGGACAGCGGAGCTTTTGAAGACGATGTTCTGCCTCCCCTCTGTTCAGGCTTAGAAGCAGCATCAGTTCTTTCTTCTTTATCACACATAACTATGTCATCCTGAGACAACTGAGGCATATTCTTTTCTATACATGTATCCATGATTTCATCAAGAGATCTAGATTCTATATTCTGAAAAGCTAGTTCAAGTTGTTCTTTTTGAGGTTCTGGAGTTGCATGTGTGCTTTTTGAGATGGTGGAAATACCTTGTTCTTTGTAAGATTCCCCTTCAGGAAAAGACAGCAAAAGGTAAGTACACATCTGGAAATTAATATATTCAATGTAACTATAAACCCAAAGAAAAAAATGTAATTCAATAACAAATCCAGCCTCATAAGAGTAAACTATTTAGCAAGCATATACCCCAGAGTTTGATCCCTGCTACCAAAAAAGAAAAAGGAGGGAAAAGAAGAGTAAGAAAAATTATAATTCGAGAGTTAACAGGGACTACTATGACTATTCTAAGGTATGTGGAATGTAGATCATTGGTGGAAAAGAAGAGGCAGGTAAGTGGGAGGCAGAGAAGAAGCAATAGAAATAAAAAGAAGAAAGGAATATTGCTAATTAATAAAAGCCATGGTAATAATAGCTTCTGCAAAAGTCATATCACTATACAAAATAATCTTTCCCCATTTTGACCTAGAAAATCTTTTTCCATAAATATCTCTTAAACTATCAAAATGAAGAGGTGATCCTTTCCTAAAACTCCAAGGGTTCTTAAAATACAGAAGCTAATCCGGCCCAATAGCAGTGGTAACTCTTAGGTATCAAAGGCTGACAGAAAAGCCCACAGTCCACTAGCTAATGTACTTAAGGTTAGCTAAGGGTTTTCTTCTCTAAACCAAGCACAAAAGCTGAAGTTGCAATTAATTAGGGTAACACAGTTTTGGTTTAGATCGAGAATGTCCCCCAAAGTGTCATGTGTTCACAGGTGGGGCTTTGGGAGGTGAGTAGGCCCCAGTGGCGCTGAGCTCACCAGTGAAGTGAACCACCAATGCGCTCACAGCTACATGTGCTGAGGGAGGCAGGGCCCACTAGGCAGCGCAGTGCCCCAAGTGTGTGCCTTTGCAGGGTGCACCTCCCCTCAGCTCCTCCCTTCTCTGTGCTTCCTGGCTGCCGTGAAGCAGGCAGTTTTCTTCCTCCACGCTCTCTACCATAACATTTCTGTCTGGAAGCCAACTGACCTCAAGTCCCCGAGAAGTGCCAAGTTAACCCTCTCCTCCTTCAGTTATGGGTGTCAGGTATTTTGTCCCAGCAACACGAAAGCTGACTAACAAAAATAATGAGAAAGATTTGCTAACTAAAAAAATCCAGAGCCAGGCGTGGTAGCACACACTTATAATCCCAAAACTCAGGAGACTCAGGCACAAGGATTGTTAGGATTATTGTGAGTTTGAGACCAGCCTGGGCTACAAAGTGAGCTCAAGGTTGGCCTGAACTGTACAGCAAGACCTTGTCTCAAAAAGAACCAGCCCCCAAAGAAAAATCTATTTTCCCTTAGGAAACACCTGTTTCTAAAGCCTTGTTCCCAGTGAGAATGTTTTAGCTCCATGACAGTGGAATGAAGTTGACAAGTATACCTGCCGCAAACACACACACACACACACACACACACACACACACACACACTTCTTTAAAATCGTCTGATTATCAATAGCATACAACATATTACTAACATTTCAGTGTGCTGTGACTTGTCTAATGCTTTCACAGAAGAGGAGATGGATGGGAGAATATTAGGACATTTCTAAAGGCTGAAAATTATAACCACATTACAGTTTCATGGTAAAATTGAAGCACTTGAGATTAAGTCTGTATTTAAAGAACCAAAACTGGAGGGTAGGGGTGTAGCTCTAAGGTGGAATATTTGTCCAATATCCATGAGGTCCTGGATTTGATCCTCTGCACCACAAAACAAAAGTAACAATCAGCCAAAACCATCAAACCCTTCCATTGTATACTTCTAATTCTATAAAGATGCCACCATCAGTTGGGGGGTGAGGGCAGTAAGGAGACTGAACTTTGCACTGAGCTACATCACTAGCCCTTTATGTTATGAGACAGGATCTCGCTAGGTCGCTAAACTGACCAGGCTAATAACCAGGAGTACTTTGCAAAATGCGATCATGTTAAAATTTATTTCACTCACCTGATTCGTCAAAAACTTTTAATTCCTTTGAACACACCTGTTTTAAGAAAATTTACAAAATACTTAGAAATCCATTGTCAAATTAAAGTTCCTTCCCTCCCTTCTTTCTTTTCAGTAAAGAAACATGTTATCTCCCAGAAGGCTCTGGAGTCAGACATGTCTTACAGAAATTCTCCCAAACACTGAGGGAAAAGATACTGTTGTTTTTACCCTGCTCCAGAGCCCAGGAGGAGAGCTAAAGCTGCCAAATGCCTTTTATCTCAATCATATTCATACCAACTAACCAGTCTCACTCAACATCAATGAAGAAATAGCAAATAAAATATTACAATTTTTTCTCTGTGGTACTGGGGCACAAACCCAGGACCTTGAACATGCTAAGCAGGGATCTACCACTAAGCTACACCAGAGCACTTCAAATAAAAAGTTACAAGCAGCAAATCAATAGACTAATAATTACTCATGATCAATTACTTTGGTTCAGGGATGCAAAAATAATTTATCATTAGGAAAGTAATTCAATAGATATATGGAAAATAATCTTATCTATTTGCATTAGTAGTCATTCTTTTAAAAAGTTAATATGAACAAAGTAAAACTTTTTTTTCTTTCTTCTTTCTTTTTTGAGTTTCACCAAGTAGTTAAGGCTGGTCTTGAAATCACTAGGAAGCCTACACTGGCCTCGAACTCAACTTGCAGCGATCCTCCAGCCTCAGGTTCCCATATGGCAAGATTACAGGCCTGTGCTCCCACACCCAGCTTTTTTTGTGTGTGACACATGGTCTGGCTATGTAGTTCAGGTTGGCTTTGAACTCACTACATAGCCTAGGCAATCCTCCTGCTTCAGCCACCCCAGTGCTGGGATTACAGGTGTGTCACCTTGCCTAGTGTTCGTCTTTCTTTTACTTTTTTCTTAAGGGGCCAGGGATATAGCTGAGAAGCACAGCACCTGCCTGGTAAGCACAAAGTCCTGAGTTCAATTACCAGAACCAAAAAAAAAAAATTACTTTTTTCTTGAAACAGAGTCTCAGCTATATTGCCAACAATGGCAAATTTATGGGTTCCAGAAGTCTCCTGCCTCACCCTTCCAAGTAGAAAACATTTTCTTAATAACACAAAATGTAACTATCAAAACCTGAAAGCCAGTATCCCAATTAATAAACACTGTAAGTATCTCCATTAAGGTTGGGAATAAAAGGATATCTAACATTAGTACCATATTTTAACATTGTTTTGCAGTTATGTTAGCCAATATGATTAAAAAAGAAAAAGAAATTAGAGCTAGAACAAGCAGAATTGTCAAAAGTGTATTTGCTGATTACACAGCTGTTTATCTATAAACCCCCAGAGAACCAAATGAAAAATTACTGAACACAATGAAGATATTCAAAAAGCGCTCTTGACAGAAAAGAGCTCAATGGTAAGAGCAACAAAAAAGGTAAAATTCTTAAGGACAACCTAATGAGAAATAAAAGTAGAGCTAAAAATAAAGTTGAAAGACACAAAGAAACCAAATGGAAAGATGTACTGTGTCATATTATAATTACAGTGTCAATGTTCCCTCAATCAATCTGTCAAATTAGTATAATTCTAAACAAACCCAAAAGAATTTTTTAAAAGACCTACACAAGGTAATTCACCCAGATCAACATGGTGCTTTTAGCATCACAGAGCTGAACAGGTTCCCTGATCAACATCCACCAATTTTTGCATGGAGATGGTTGCAAGTGACAACCCCACTGGCCTTCCCTGTATTACTTATGATGAAAAGTGCCAGGACTACCTTTATCTACATAAAGTTTTAAAGAAACAGGGCTGGGAATTTAGCTCAGCGGCACAGCGCCTGCCTGGCAAGTGCCAGGTCGTGAGTTCGATTCTCAGTACTGGAGAAAAAAAAAAAAAAAAAAAAGAATGAAGGGAGAAACAGACTGCTGCAGCACAGCCGCCTCACTGTGTGGTGATTCTCACCTCAGAGGAGCACTGCAGCAGATCATTTCCTACAGCAAGTGAACTTTTTTTGGCAGGAGGAGCTTGGTCGCTTTCACCAAGCCTGCAGTGTGATCTCTTCCTCGATGTAAGATCCAAATTAGCAGGAGGCTTTTCAGAATCATCTCGTTCAGAATTAGATAAACACACAGCATCTTCACCAAATGAAGTTATTGGTAAGGTCATACTGCAGAGAAGGAATACACAGAACACCAGTGAACCAGAAGCTCTACAATGAGGTTAAAGGCTAATGAAAATAATGCATTCGAAAAATTCCAAACTAACAAATTTAAGGCAATGACTAGAAAAACACAAGTTTCAAGTTACATTTACAACTTCATTTGCAGCCAGGCATGGCGGCACACACCTACAATACCAGCACTCGGGGGGCTAAGGCAGGAGGATACTCTGAATTTGAGGCCAGCCTGGGTTATACAGTGAGACCCTGCCTCCAAAAAAAAAGACCACCCAAAAAAAAAAAAACCTTTTTTTTTTTTTTGGTCTTTTTGAGACAGGGTCTCGCTATGCAATTCAGGCTGGTCTTGAACTCACTTTGTAGCCCAGGCTGGCCTCAAACGTGCAATGATCCCCCTGCCTCAGCCTCCTGGGTGCTGGGATTACAGGCATGTAATCCTTTTGCACCATGCCTAGTGCAAAAATACAACTTAATATGCAAAATACTAAATTAAATCTGAAGTATATAAGTACTATTTGCTTGCTGTAAAGTTAAACTTTTAATCTAACGTTGTCCCTTTCTAATAAAAAAAAAGGCCAGGGTCTGGGGATTTAGCTCAGCGGCAAAGCGCCTACCTGGCAAGCACAAGGTCGTGAGTTCGGTTCCCGGTACCGGAGAAAAACCAAAAATAAGGCCAGGTGTGGTGGTGCAAGCCTGTAATGCCATCACTCAAGTGGCTAAGGTAGGAGGACTGCTGGGAGTTCAAGGCCACCCTGGGCTACACAACAAAATCCTGCCTCAAAAAAAAATTCAGTTTCTAATGCTACTCCTTGATAGACAATTGTTTTTAGCCAATGAAAGTTAAAATACAACTTAACACTTCCACAATAAAGAACTAAAATAAGTGCTTCAAGAATCAATAGTGTAATCCCAGCACTCAGGAGGCTGAGGAAGGAGGATCACCGAGTTCGAGGCCAACCTGGATTACAAAGTGAGCCTGACTGAACTGCATAGTGAAACTTTGTCTCAAAAAGACCAAAAAATAAATAAAGAAATAAACAGAAATGTTAGTTCTATTATTATTTTTGCCAACCAAGGTGTATGTAACCACACTTGTAACGGGTGTCATTTTATGATCCAGATTGCTAAATTACAGTCTTCAAAATAAAACATCAAACAAGTCCCATACAAAAGTATCACATTCTACATTTAAATGGCATCTTTATCAGATATAAAATGAACCACATTACAATTCTTCTCCCACTCTGCAAAAATTACTAAATAAAATCTCTTTAATAACAAATAATGTCAGTGAATGGCTTATCCAATGAGTACAGTTCGATTCATAAAGCGTCCTTTTCCTTAGCAAAAACAAGTTCCCACTCATTACCTAGTGTCACCCCTCTCTTCAGGATTGCCAGATTTGACCAGGATGGGCGCAGGCAGCATGGGGTTCGGCGCTAACTGTGCGGCAGCATCAGGGAACTCTTCCGCGGCACCGGCTGGGATCTCCACCAGGGTCAGAATGAACGCTTGCTCATCCTCTCCATCCTGATGCACATTTGCAAACAGATTCGCTGCAAATTTGAAATTTAGTAATGAAACACTCAACTATAAAATAAAATCATTATTTCACTTCTAAAAATAAAGTCTCTCTGACACTTTATCATCAAGACTAAAAAACTTAAATTACACCCAATCCCCCCAAACATAATCTGATAAAGGGTAAATAAAGACAATATACTATGGGGAAGACTTATTCTGAAAAACAAAACTGATAAACAAAATACTTCAAGTTTGTTTTTAAGGGCACCATACTTTTAAAAAACTGTTTTATTTTTCCAGTTAAATGTAAAAATCGTATCATTAGATTCTATGAGACTTTGCTGAGTCAGATGGTTGTACCTGTTAGGTCTTGAGTGTTGGTTAAATTCTCCTGCTGCACTTCCAGAACACCAGCTGGTGTACACTGCATAAAAATGTAAAATGGAAGGATGAAGTTTGACAAACCTTAGATTTGAAGCTTCCTGACAATCTTACACAGTACAGACTCAAAACTCAACAGTTCATCTTAAACATTTAAATTTCTCAAGTGTTTGAAGATTTCAGTTGTCAGTAACTTTGGCCCTTTAAAATTTTATTTTGAGACAGGGTCTCACTAACTTGCCCAAGCTGGGCTCTAACTTCCTGCTTCAGCCTTCCAAGTACCTGGGAGTGCACCACTGTGCATGGTGAGATGGTTTTTGAAGTAAGACCAATCTAAATCCTCCAATATTCTCTCTACTCCCACCACATCAGCCCTGTGCTGTAAGCAGATGACATCTCAACGGGGCAAACTTCTCTCCTTTCCTCCACTGTGGTTTCCACCAGTCTGTCTTCATAAAAGTAGCAGCCAGGCATGGTGGTGCAAGCCTAATTCCAGCACTCTGGGGACCTGAGGCATGGGAAGTTTATCAACTTAGCAAGACTCTATCTCAAAAAAAAAAGTGGAGGAGGGGACATTAGGGATGTAGCTCAGTATGAAGGCCCTAAATTCAATCCCTAATAACACAATAAAATAAATGAAACCTATTAACACATTTTCCCACAAAGCAATCCTGATGGCAACTCTCTAATGCTTATAATGTTAACTTTCATTTTGTAACCAACAATGTAGATGACAGCTCCAGGGAAGACTCATCAATGGATACCAAAACTAGTAGGTAATGCTTGCTGGGACTCAGTGGACAATTTACTAACACAAAGTAGAAAAGGTACCCTTGTAATGGAGAGATCTGGCAGGCACTATTCTACCCAAATGCTAAGTCAACAACAGCAATGATGGAACCAACTGACACTGTGTGTCTCATGACATGTTAGTAGGGGGAAAACACATCACCTACGTAGTAATCTTGTCCAAAAACTAAAGGCAGTAAGGAGGAGCCAATTAAAAAAAAAAAAACAAAAAACAATCCACATTGTGGAGCAGCCTACACTTGTCTAAAATGCCAAGTTTACAAGAGAAAAAATAACGTATCTAGATTAAAGGAGAGTAAAAAGAAATGACAACTAAATGCAAGGTGATACCTCCCATTGGGTCCCAAGTTTTTTTAAAAATTAGGATATAATGGTCATGAGTGGAACAGCTGAGGAAACCTGAATGGAAACTGTATATTAAATAATATTAGTGAACAAATGCTAAATGCTATGGTACTACTTAGGGTGAGAAAAGCCTACTACTTCTCGGTAAAAGAACAATCCTGTTCTTATTAACAAGATGGAATATTTAGGAGTGAAGGCTCATGTGTGCAGTTTTCAAATGGTTCAGTCTTTCAAAGAATCCATCTCCATCCACCTCCCCCACCCATCCATCTACCCATTCATCCATCCATCCACCCATCATCCATCTACCACCTATCCATCCATCCGTCCATCCACCCATCCACCCACCCCATCCATCTATTTATCCACCCATCCATCCATCCATCCATCGAGATGGAGGGCAAGGCAGAAAACCATGAAACTAAGTGTTAACATTTAATAAAGCTAAGGAAAAAATAAGGAAGAGTTCTTCCTAAGATTCTTGTCACTTTTCAGTGTTTCTGTTTGAAATTATTTCAAAATTTAAAACACTGGGGGCAGGGCCCTCATAACTTTGGACACAATCAAACTCCTTAGCAAGTATTAAAAATCCCTGTATTACCTATCTGGAAGCTGCCTTTCCTTTTTTATCTTCTGTGGTTCGGGGTTTATTTTTGTGGTACTGAGGACTGACCCCAGGAGCACTCCACATCCCTATCCCCATTCCCTCTTCTTTTCTAGCTTTGAGACACGGTCTCACTAAGTTGTCCAGGCAAGATTTGAACCTTCCATCCTCCGACACCAGCCACCCTAAGTGCTGGGGTTATAGGTTTGACCCGGTTTGCAGGCCACGTTCCTAACTTCATCTCTAACCCTTTTCCTCCTTTGTATTCCACTCGTAACAGTACACAATCCCTAACATGCTGTGCTGCTTCACACCTGCGTTTGCATATTTGTTTCCCTTTAATCCACTCATGTATACTTGTTTTTTAAAGGATGCTCTCACCCAGGGAACATTTTTTTTAAACCACGCTCTGTATCTTTAATTAAGCACAGAGTCCTCTCCAATATGTCACCAACAGCCCACCCACTGCTCTGTCTGGCCGCCACCCTTTGTCTCTCTCCGCAGAAATAGTGAGATGGAGTCCTTTTCCTGCAGAAGAGAAATCCATGGCTTACTGCTTTTGCCAGCAAAGAAAATGCTGGAGAGCCAGGTAGCAAAGCTGTTGCCGTTGCTGCTATCTTTCATGTGAATCACATCAAAAGAGCCAGGATGTTTCTCCCTATTGGTGAGCACACCAATCCTCCCCAAGTTAGTACCACCAGTCACCACGCACAGGTTACCAGTGTCGAACCTGATGGGATCGGTGATCCTGCCAGATGCCAAGTCACTCCAGATGGCAATACTCGCCTAGATAAGGGGATCATGGCAGCAAATGGTGACAGCATCATGGGTCCCAAGATGAGGGGTAGCTCTGGTACCCACAAAGATCTTTGTCACTTTATACAACTTGTACTTAGCTTCCTCAGGTCTAACAGGGTGAACAGCGAAGTGACCCTTCCCAGTTGTAGATCAGATGGGAGTGCTCTCCTGTCCTGTCAACACTGGTGATATCAATACAGTCAGGAGGGTAGGTTATACCAGTTCAGACTTTTCCACTGATCTGAATGAAGCACTGCATGCAAATCTTCTTGACTTTTCCCGCTGGCACGGATAATCAAGTCTGTTCCTTAGGGAGATGGTAAGAGACGGACACTCTCCCAATCTGTGGGACCGGTAGATGTATGAGGAGTAAACAGACCGGTCAATTCATCCAGCACCCAGTCCTCTGGAGGCATCACTCACTTCAGATGTTTCTTGGGACCACAAGCCACAGCTGAGCTCTCGCCAACTTCACTGTTTCCCTCCTGGTGCTCGGCTCCTAGCGTGGCACTCCTCTACCCTACTGCTGCATGTGCCCAGGGAACTTTTCAAAGAAAATATTAATGCCTGGGCCCTTTTCCCAGAGATTAATTAATCTGCGTGGAAGCAACTCCTACAGAGTTTTTGCAAATCTCTATTGTATCACCTATCAAACTGAGTTTAAGAATTCATTTACTCATCTGTCTCCACAGATTTATATCCCACTGCTTAGAAATGCCAGGCATGGAGTAGTAACATCTTAAAAAATACCCACTCTGCATACAAAACAAATTTTCTGTGTATAAAACAATTCCTTACAGCCAAGTGTACACACCTATACTCTCAGCACACACCTATAATCTCAGCACTTAGGAGGCTGAGGCAGGAGGATCACCCAAATTTGAGGCCAGCCTGGACTAGTGAGTTCAAGGTCAGCCTGAACTGTATGGTGAGACCCTGTCTCCAAAAGCAAAACAACAACAAAAAAACCCTGGGCATCTTCCCAAAAGAATTAAAAGATCATACCACAGTGATATACGCTCACCCATGTTTATAGCAGCACAGAATGCAACAGCCAAATCTTGGAAACAACCAAAATGCCCATCAACTGGTGAATGGATGAAGAAGATGTGGTTTTTTAATGCAATGGAATACTACTCTGCCATAAAGAAGGATACGCTTGAGACATTTGTAGGAAAATGGATGCACCTTGAGTCCATACTCTTAAGTGAAATAAATCAGACACACAGATGCAAATACCGCAGTGTTTCTCTGGTGTTGAAAAACCAAAAGTATAAATAAGGACCAAAACGTATAATAGTATTGTGAAATAGGAAGAAAATGTTTAAATGGGGAGAGGAAGAAGGGAGGAAGAGGAAAGGAAAAAACGGAAAACTAAAAAAAAAGAGAGAGAAAAGAAGGAAAACATGGAAACAAAGCTTTTGTAAGTGGGAAGGGGAGGAGGGATAAAAAGGAGAACAGAGGAATGGGAGACAAAACCACTTGTATCAAGCACAGGTACAGACTCTCCATGATGAGTGCGATCATTACGTACATCTAAAATGTGCCAATAAAATCTGATAGACAAAAATTCGTTTTTGAAAGCTTTTACAATAAAGCTAACAGCTTCTTTATGTCTGTGTTCCAGGGACTAAAGACACACTTAATTAAAATTCAACTGCAATACAATCTTGAAAAAGGTAAAGCTGTAAGGGAATGGATCAGTGACTGTTAGGAGCTGGTGTGAGAGAGAAAGGCAAGTATCAAAGGGCACTGATGAACATTTCAGGTACTGGTTACAAGACTATACCTGTAAAACTTACAGAACTATACACTCAGAGGGTGATGTCTGGGGCATTGCTGGTGTAGCTTGCCTAATATGCACAAAGCTCTGGGTTAGATCCCCAGCACCAAAAAAATAAAAGTAAAATAAAATGAATGTGTGTGTGGCACACACACACACACACACACACACACACACACACACACACACACGACGGGGGGAAAGCTTAGCATATGAAAATTATACCTTCATTTTTTGTTTTAATGGGAAGACACATCTGCTACCCGTGTGTCAGTCTACTTTCTTTTACCTCTGGCGCACGAAGTGTGGGCCTGCTGTATCCTTTAGTGTCCTCTATCAGGGGCTCTTCAACAGAATTCTCACCGAGATCCCCACTGGAAACAAGTGGGGGGGGCCCTGCCTCAGAGGAGACAACGGGAGCAACTGGCAACGTCTGAACCTCTTGAGAGCTCTCTTCTTGATCCTCACTTCTAAAAGAGAGTATGAGTATTAGGATGTTATGTGAAATCAGGCTAACAACTGTGGAATACTTTTAGAGCTAGGTGCATCAGAGATCACCTAAGTTAATGGTTTTGAGCTTGTAAATATATTCAATTCAGTAAAACTCTTTTTCTCAATCAAATTCTTATAGCCAAAGCCTACAGCTACAACTGAGTACCAGAATCTTTCTTCCCTCTTTTACCTTTTGCTTGGGTTTGCTTCTTGTGAAATACTGGTCCCTCTGATATCCTGCACACATGCCAACTGGTTCTGCTCCTGACTCTCTGCTGTTGTGACTGGCCCAGAGTTTTTATCTTCCACTTCTGCTGCTATGGAAGCACTGTCCTCAGTTTCTTAAATAAAAAACATACTTAAGATGTAGTTCAAAATAATACCACTAAAATCTCCGTATTAGAAACATATCCTCCCTTACAACAGACAACAATGCAGTGACTCCTCCAAACTTCCCTAAATCCAAAATCCAGCGTATTCACATGGCAGAAGGGCGCCTCTTGACACTGAAGTGTGTCAACACTGAAACAGATGATGCATGCAACATATTCCAGTTCTGGCTGCTACAGCAACTGTATCCCTACTTTGTGGTAACAGCAGTAGGATTAAAAATTCACATCCACAAGACAGTTAGAGGTGAGTACACAAAAGTTTTAGGAAAGGAACTGTGAAGCAAATAATAATATCACAAAGGGAAAGGAAAAAGATTTCTGTAAAGAAGTCGAACCTGTAGACTAAGAGCTTCCAGATGCTGCTTAATGCAGCATAATAATCAACATACCGCATGTGTACACATACCACAGGCACTGCTGGCTGAAAGTGAATCCTAGAAACCAGGACAGGCAAACCAGGAAAGATGATGCTCACTACGCTAATCTAAGATGGGCCCCATTCATCCTGATAGCATGCTGTCTGCGTGTTCCCTGCCCGTACTATCACCATGGGACTAAGAACATTATGTCACTATACAGCAAGGCCATCAAAAATGAATGACAGCAAGCACTGAAGGGAAGGTGCAGGTTTGAGATGTGATGCCTGGTAGAGCACATGCTTTGCAGGATCAAGCCCCTGGGTTCAATGCCCAACATGGCAAGATAAAAACAAAAACAAACAAACAAAAAACATGAACGGCTGGGTGTGGTGCCACAGTCCTGTCATCCTAGCACTTGGGAGGCTGAGGCAGGAGGATCACCACAAGTTGGAGGCCAGGCTAGGCTACAAAGTGAATTCAAGGCCAGCCTGAACTGCATAGCAAGACATTATCTCAAAAAGACCATAAACAAAACAAAACAAAAGCTGATGAAGGTACTAAAGTATTAAAATTTGGTCTATTCTGGCGCAGAGGACTAAACCCGGGATCTTGACCTATATCCCTAACTGTAAAATATTAATCCCAATAACAAAAGTACAAACCAATTAAAACAAAAAAGAATGGGTTTCAAGAGATATTTTTCTAAAGATACACAAATGAGCACATGACAAGATATACAATGCTATTAACCCTTAGGAGAATACAAATCAAAACCACAAGGACCTGGGCACAAGGGTACACATCTATAATCCCCGCTACTTGGGAGGCTGAAGCAGTAAGATCAGAAGTTGGAGGCCAGCCTGGGCAATTTAGTGAGATCCTGTCTCAAAATAAAAAAGCAAACAAAAAGAAGGCAGGTGCCTGGGATGTAGCTCAATGGTAAGGCACTCTTGGGTTTGATCTGCGGTACCACAGATACAAACAATAAAACAAAAAGTTCTACCACAATGAAATTCATTTTTACACCAAGATACCTCCAATCAAAAGGACCAAAAAAGAAGTGTCTGGAAAGATACAGAGAAACTGAAACTCAGCCTGCTAGTGAAAACATAAAACAGCACCAGTATTCCTTTTTTCAACTTGTGGTACTGGAGCACCGGACCCGGGCACTTACCACTGGCGACCCTGCCTCTCCCCTTTCTCTCCTTTTCTCCTTTCTTCTCTCCTCCCCCTCCTTGCGGCAGGGTCTTGCTAGGTTTCCAGATAAGACCTGACCTTGTGATCCTCCTGCCTAACACTTCTTTATAATATATTCTGTTTAACTGATATATAAAAACAAAAAAATTGTACAGATTTAAAACTGTTTGATAGCTCCTCAACAGGTTAAACAATGTTAACTCTGTGGCAGGCAGAGCAGGTAGTCTAACTGAGGCCCTAGGTTGAACGCAAGCACTCCCACAAAAGAAGGTTAAAAAGAAACTACCATATGAGCCAGCAACTCAACCTGCGTTCTGGAGAAATGAAAACATATGCCACAGAAGAATGTATACATAAACATTCTGTGTGGGGTGTGGGGGGGTGTATGTGTGTGGTATTGGATACTGAACCCAGGGCCTTTGCACTGAGCTACATCTTCATCCCTTTTTTATTTTTTATTCTGCGAGGATCTTGCCAAGTCATTAAGTTGCCCAGACTGGGCTCAAAGTTGAAATCCTCTGGCCTCGGCCTCCCTCGGGATTACACGTGTGCATTATGCCTGGCTAACACAAAACACGTATTTTCATTGTGTACAACATGTTTTGAAATGTAGAGTAGTACTTAGGCACTTCTTTTTTCTTTTGATTTTTTGAGATGGAGTCTGGTTGTGAACTCACTATGGAGCCCAGGCTGGCCTCAAACTCCTAGCCATCCTCCTGCCTCAGCCTCTCAAATGCTAGAATTACAGGTACAAGCCACCACACCCAGCTATGCACTTCTTATTAATTGGTTCTGGAAGAAGTGATCAGCATCAAAAACAACAAATACTCAACAAGTTGTGTTGGCCAGGGTACGAGGCAAGGTTCCTGCTTGTGCAACAAGTACCAAACAAGTGCTAAGTGCCAGGGCAGAACATCACATCAAAATGCACCAATTCCGTGAGTTTCAAAGCAGTACCAAAGTATGACTGTATAGACACCGTGGAATGGTTATATCTAGTTAAATTAACCAATGTGTTAACTCAAGAGTTAGTATATTTGAGGTAAGAGCACATAATACCTCTTCTTTTTACATTTTAAGAATACTGGACAATATGTCACCATGAACTATGGTCACCAGGGTGTGCAATTATGAAACTGATACTGAACCATATGTACACTACAGTATATGTATACATCTGTTCTTTCTAAAGGAAATATACATGCATAAACATATGTGCTTATATAAATGTGTGTATGTGTGGTTATATGTACATACACACCCTCATTTAGGTGCTTACATGTATACAAAATGTTTTCAGAAATATACAATAAAAATAAAAAGGGCTGGAGATATGACTGAATGCAAAGGCCCTAAATTTAATCTCCAGTATAAAATAACCCAGACCATTAATAGCAGTTTGTCACAATGAATGAGACAAGGGGGCTATGGACCAAGGAAAGGGAGCTCAGTCTGCAATTCCATGCCTTTTAGGCACAACCTACCATCTCCACAGGTGTTGCTACACACTTCTCTAAGACACATATGCTTGAGTGTTCAAGTACATGCACACAACAACGTGTACACATTAAAAATACGGCAAATGCAGCAAATGTACCATTACTGAAATCACTGTTGGATTTATGAATACTTATAGCTTATTTTACTTTTTCATATATCTGAAATTTTCTATAGCAATTAAAAGTAATTTTAACAACTGAATGTTCCCTTGAAACGCAAATGCAATTTCTTGTGCCAAAGTTATTTTGTAACTTCTAAGAGAACAACAAAGTTTACCTTTTTGATTTTCTACTTCTTCTCCTTCAGATGCAGTGGAAACTTCCTGATAAGCATCAGTCCTGCTGGTCACTAACACCTCCAGATTTGGCTCAGGCCTGGTGAGTGTACTTCTCACTTGCAAGTTACTATCCACTTCAGAAGCTATACTCCTAGAAGTGAAGAAATAAGAGAAGTTTAGCAGTAAGCAAGAGTTCTCTCCTTCTAACACTGATACATTCCTTCTAGCCTTAGGCTACCTTTCATGGGCCACACTTGTCTGGGAATGTTCATTTCTTTGTCACTGAGCTACAGAGGTTTTTTTTGTTTTTTCCTCAGTACTGGGGATTGAACCCAGGGCCACTGCACTAAGCTACATTGCTAGTACTTTTATTTTTTATTTTGACACAGGGGATCACTAAACCACTACATTTCCCAAGCTGGGTTCAAACTTTGGATTCTCCTGCCTCAACTTCCCAGCATGTGGGGATTACAGGCATGCACCATCATGTCCAGCCAAGTATTTATTTCTTAATGTTAAAATAACTAATAACTTTACTAGACCTCTAGAAAAGAAATTCTATACCACAGTTATGAAACAGTACACTTATATAACTCTATTTTATTAAAGCTTCAGAGACACATGAAACACTATACAGTGATACCTCGGTTCACATACTCTGTTCTCTCCATGATTCTGGTCGCAAACCGAACCGAAGAACGAAATCAAATTTCCCCATAAGGTCAACATTGAATCTAACTACTGAATTTGATTCAGTTATCATCCAACTCAGTTTGTAACCAGAATTGTGGAAGAATCAAGTTCACGAACCAAGGTGCTACTGTATACTTTTAATATGCAAACCATTAAACCCATTACAATCTAAATCAGCCAGTCCTTAATTTAATGTGTAAGAAATTGGCTTTGCCTACTTTAAATTTACATAATACTCAAAGCTACAGACTGAACAGATGGGACTTAAATACATTTATTAATTGAATGCTAAAATAAACCTGATTAAAAATTAATTAATTAAATTTAATTAAATAAACCTGGTTAGGGCTAGGGGTATAGCTCAGTGGTAGGGTGCCTTCCTGGCAAATGAGAGGTCCTGAGTTCAATTCCCGGTACAAATAAACAAAAAAACAAGCAAACCAACCAACCAACCTGGTTGATGTGTTCTCCACTGCCTTCCCCTTTAAGCCAGCTTCTTCTCTACAGTCCTGTCCCCCGGACACACCCTTGTTTTCTTCAGATGCAGAGGACGTGTCAATGACAGGTGAAGAGAGCTCCTGACACTCAGGAACAACTTTGTGACTGACACTATCTGGGCTGAAAGGAACGTGCCTTTTATCCTTTGAATGAACATCAGAAAATACACATACTCCTATGGCAGAAAAAAACAGGAAATTAAAGTTGAGGCAACATGAACAGAAATCCAAATAAAATTCATTCTTCAGCACTGAACAGCTATAACATTCAGTATAGTTAAAGTTTGATCTTTTTATGGTTGCAAAGTTAAATACTGTATGTAAACTCATATTTCATGTCCTAAGTCTGTCCTGTAGTGAGCTTGATTCTTTAAGACTGAAACTTTGTGCTATTAGAAGGAGAAATGAAGCTAGGCGTAACGGTGCACGCCTCATGATCTCAGCACGCTGGGAAACTGAGGCAAGCTCGAGTCCAGCCTGAGCAACTTAGCAAGACCCTGTTTCAAAATAAAAAAGGCCAGAGATGCAGATTAGGGCAAAGGCCCTGAGTTCCCTTCCCCATACCAAAAGTAGAAAAAGTAAAAATGAATCCCTTTGTTACTTGCAGAAAGTAATTACATAACCCTAGACTTCAAGCTAGGACTGCCTTCTGTTACTAATTTTTAAAACCTGTACTTTATCTTCTAGAGATCTACCATGGGCTTTACTGATACTTGGCCATTGAGAAAGCAGCCGCTGCCCAGCACAAATCAGAGACCTGCCTGAGACGCATGGTCATTAGCTAAAACGTCTGACAGTGAGGGCTGGGGTGCAGCTGAGGTAAGCAGGGCACCTCCCTAGCATTTGTGAGAGTGAGGTCCTGGGTTCAATCCTTAGCACTGTGCAAAAAAAAGGTCTAACAACTAAAACGAAGACAAGATGGCAGGTCAGTTATTACCAGTCAATTATACAATTAGCATAATTATCCAACTAATGTAGTTAAGATAACAATAAGCTTCTAACTTCAGCCAAGTATACTAAAAATCTAGACTGCCATATCTTTATTGGCTCTATCCAAACTATCAGAACAGCGTACTTATTCAGTGGCCCCTACTACCTTGCCTTCATCATCTAACTTGAAGACTATTTCAAGCAGCAGCAACTCCTTTGCTAAGGAGACACATAAAGTGATCACTGATCAATAAGCTCAATTAACCATTGATGTTTATGATAAGGTAGAAAATTCACTAGATCAACTATTCCATGAATATACATTATTCTTAATAAACCATGTTCACTATCTCAAAATGGTTGCCACTACATCTAACAGGGCTAAAATAATGAGTGAATCATGCACAAACATTACCTCTTCTAGAAAAGCAATAGTGACGATAATTTCAAATACAAAAGGCTTTTGACTCAAAGCGTGGACATGATCTCTTAGCAGTCACATTTAAGTCTCACTTTGGCGGCTTGCCTTCCACTCTTACCATCAGCCTGCTCCGCGCTCATCCCCGACTGCAGTACCAGGTCTCCCATGGTGAGTAAGGTTATGGCCGCTTCCGTGCTCCCATCGCTGGGACCTTGTGAAGAAACACAGCAACATTGAAACAGATGAAGGAATATGAAAACAGGTTTACTTAAAACAGACTCTGGGTGGCTGGAAAAAAACAAAACACAGACTCTGAACTCAGGTTTTTCTCATAGCAATGGTTTCACTACTCTCTGTACACTAGTTGCTTACTAATGTGGTGTTTTGTTCAGCTTTTATACTACCAATTTTTTAAAATTTTATTTTAAAGAGAGTAGTAAACGAGAAACAAGTAAACAAAAAATAGAACAATAGCAGCATACCAGTATCACAAACACAAACAAACCAAAGCAAGAACATTTAAAGTGATACAGGGTTTAACAATAGTTAAACTACCAATTAAAAAATATCAGCTCTTGACTTTTACTTGCTGAAAACACTTAGGAAATGCTTTAAAAATGCTTCTTATTATACATTTTACTCAGTTCACCTTCGCATCAAGTGCTATGATTTGATCTAAAATGTCCCCCAAAGGGCTCCTATGTTCACAGCTAGAGCCTCTGGAAGGTGACTGGATCACGGCGTGTGTGCCCCTTGTGGACTCACCCCTGATGAGCTCATAGCCCAGTGTGGCGGGCAGTGGGCCTGGCTGGAGCAGCAGGATCAGAAAAGGTGTGTTTTGTCCCTAGCCACCTCCCGCCTCCAGCTCTCTGCTCTCCACTGTCAGGCCCCTCTGCTGTGACGACCCTGCCTTGGAGCCAGCCCATCCTGGACTAAAGCCCCGTCCTTGGTAAATCCTTCCTCCCACCAGTCACACATGTCAGACATTTTGTCCCAGCAATGGGAAAGTGTCTCATATACCAGGTTTAACACAGAGATCATTTATTCAACAGCTGAATCTTTTTATCCAACACTCCAGCAAACCAATTCAGGTCCTAACTGTTCCACTGCTAAAGCACTGTGCTAGTGCTAACCAAGCAGTTCTAGCAGTTTCCCTGTAAATAGTTACCTGCTTCGTCCTGGGTCTGTTCACCTGTGGTCATTTCCTAAAAGAGGAAAAGGTAAGTAACATGTTAAAAATTCTCCCTAAATACATGGTCCTTTTCTCAAAAAGCACTACATTTTACAGGACTTTTCATTTTTTTTAAGTTAGCAATAATAAAGCATTTTTCTTAATATATAACTAGTCATAAAATTTCAGAAACAAGCACAGAAGTAACTTCTTTTGTCACTTGCTCTTACCTTTTGCTTATATGCAAATATAACTCTAATCATATGCTATATACATTTCATTATTCTTACTTCTCCACATTCACAATCCTCTTACCCTGGTCAAACCTGTTGCCAGTTTTTATCCAATGAAAACAAGTCTAAAAAGCATCAAGGTTTTTTTTAGACGACTAGGAGGCTTTAAACTGAAATGACTTTTAGTAAACAAATATGGGGTAATGATTAAGGCATGTTATATATATATACACAAACCTGAACAAATGAAACTCATTATCCTGTATGGCATGCACTAAAAGTGGCGGTGGGGGGGTGAAGGAAAAAAAATAGCAAAACACAAAACCCCAAATCATGGCCTCCCCCAGTGAATATTCAGTTAATATTCACCTTTTATTTGTCATACACTGTGGAAATAATGGAATTGAACCCAGCACTTTTGCACTAAGCTATATCCCCAGCCCTTTTTTATTCTGAAATACAGTTTTGCTAAATTACTAAGTTGCTCAGGCTGGGTTCAAACTTTGAATCTCTCTGCCTCAGCCTCTCAGAGTGCTAGGATTACAGACATGTGCCACCACACCTAACTTAAACTGCAATGTTTTTAAAATACAATTTTAAAATTATGGATCTCCCTTTTACTTAGCTTTATTTCTTTTTCCTGCGCCAACACTGGATTAGTGTTGACCCTAGTCCAGTATACCTGGTGTCCTTGAAAGAAAACACACAGGTGCAACACAGGGAGAACCCCAAGTGGCAACGAGAACAGGCTGGGATTACAGTGCCTTAAAGAAAGAAACGACAGGCACCCCCAGCAATGCCAGAGGCTTCTCCCTCCATCTCCAGAAAGAACCAGCACTGTGTCACATGTAGTTTGGGACTTCTAGACTCCAGAACTGGAAGAGAATATATTTCTGTGGTTTTCAGATACCCAGTCTGTGCTATTTTGTTACATATGAGCTAGGAAACTGATATTGAAAGGAATAAACATCTCTATTTAGAGATGATATAAAAATACTAAATATATAGAAAATATTAAAGAATACACTGAAAAACTCTTAGAAGTGATGTTAGCAAAATTGCAGGATCCAAAACTAATACACAAAAATCAATTGTATCTCTATGCACTTGCAAGAAGGAATTCAAAAATGAAATTAAGAAAACAGCTCCTGCACATGTCTGTAATCCCAGCACTGTGAGGGCCAGAAGATTGCAAGCCTGGGAAACCAAGTAACTTAGCAAGAATTTGTCTCAAAATTTTAAAAACTTCTAACATGAGTTGGGGATGTGGATCAGTGCAAAGGCCCTGGGTTCAGTCCTCAATATTAAAGGCAGGTAGTAAAAGTGAGTCCATTTGTTACTTGCAGAAACTAATAAGCCCAGATGGATGTCAAAATACATTTGCCTTCATTTACAAATTTTGAAAACCTGTACATTATGTCCTAAGATTTATGACAGGCTTCACTCCAATGTTCTGTCACCGAGACAGAAGTCCTATACGGAACACAAACTATCCTGATTATAAATCTCAACATTAATGAATAGGAGGTTGCCATGCCCTCCAAACTGATCTACAGAGGCAATGCAATCACAATTAGAATTCCTGCTGATTTGTTTGCAGACACTGACAAGATGACTTTAAAATTCATACTGAGGGGCTGGGGATTTAGCTCAGCGGCAAAGCACCTGCCTGGCAAGTGCAAGGTCGTGAGTTCGGTCCCCGGTAC